CTGTAATAGACGAGGCTGTTTTGAAGCGGTAATATTACTCACAGCGGGGTCTGGATTTGCAAATAGGACAAAATCAGTGTGACGGCCAGAGAAGAGCCATCAGTCCAGACCTTCAGTTCTGTCTCCACGGGAGTCCAGAGCGTTGGAGCCGAGCAGAGTAACATAATACGCCGTTAAAAAGCATTCATCAAAATATAATGATGCTTTTGGTTACATGCGAACGAAGTCGTTTATTGATACTGGAGCGTCAGCAGTAATTTGACATCATCTGGAAAGGCAGACACGTGAGCGATCGAAGGTGTGAACCAGACGGAGAGCCGAGCGTTGAGCTGCGGTCGGCCTTGTGTCATTCTCATGTAAGCGTATCTTCAGCGCCCACGCGTCTTTATGCGGCGAGGCCTTGAAAGCTGTTCTCTGGTCTGATTCAGCTCCTTGGCCGGTCATTTTTTTCCCTTTCTCTCTCTCTCTCTCTCTGTCTAACACACATACAAACCCAAACCTGAAATCAACTCTGCAGCTGATATTCATTTGAATAAATTAACACCTCTTAATCAGCCGGTGGTTAGATTCAGCAGGAGCCTGTCCCATTTCTGTTCCTCGCCTCATGACATCAGCACCACGAGTATTTTCAGGACAAGGTTTCTTTTTTCGTTTTCGAGTCACCCAGAAGAGGGAGGAGTGAAATCTGTGGAAGGATTCGATCCAAAGCGAGCAGAGGCAGGTTCAATTCAAAGGATAGAGGCGGCAATCAATGTGCCATCTCTTTTTGGTGCACACTGTAATTTAGAGGAGTTTGGAGAGGTGTAAGGCTACCTTTTATTTCCATAACCCATTTTGGAGACTGGGCTGAGGGCTGTTCTGCCTCCCAGGATCAACTCTGTAAGTTTGCCCTTCAGCAGAGCAGTCGACTACCTGCTGCTGCTTTTGTCAGATAACCACCGGTGTACAAATCCAAACCGCCAACTTTTCTCCTCCTCTGCTGTCGCCTTAAAGTTGATTTCTTTTTTTTGTTAAATCCTCGTTTGTTCTAAGAAAAGAGAAGAAGAGGTCGGCTCAAGTATGAGCAGCCATGCTGGCTCCCCAGTCGGGTATCTGCGGTGCGCCGTGGCCACGTTTGTCCTCCGAGGAGGTTATGAATAAAATTTAAAGGGGGAATCTAAACTATCTGCCAGACAGCTGCAAAAGAAAGAACATACTGTGCCCAGAAATCCAGATCTTTCGACACAAAAGTCCCTTTTTTACCATGAAGTGTACATTTTACAAGCATGACATTACATTAAAGCTCCTGTCAGAGGTTTTTTGTCGTTTATAAAAAAAAAAACAAATTCATATCCCTGCCTTTTCTTGAGGTACAAAAGCAACCGGAACCAATGGCGACAAGATTGACAACTTTTATTTTGGGATTTTGAAGGCCTGCAACGTGTGCGAGGGGGTAAGTGTCAAACGCACAGCTGAAGAAAAAAAACAATTTTTACATTTCCTACAAAAAATGTTCAGAATAAATGAAAGATTTGGCTTTCAAGAGTCAGAATAAGGACATTTTTGACAGGAGGCACAACGTAAGCAGAAACTGTTTTGTTAAAAGGGAGCGCCAAAATGAGCACAAACCAAAAGTTGCTTTAAGGAGCTTTAAACATTAATTATATTACAATGTGGCCAAAATAAAAAGTTACCCTTACTTAATTATTGTGATATTTGTGATTTGTGAACAAATTTAAACATGTGAGGGATAATGTAAGAAAAGATTGTTTAGTCCACAGGGGGCGCCAAAATGGACACAAACCAAAAGTTGCTTACAGGAGCTTTAAATATTCTTTATATTCCATTGTGGCCAAAATAAAACGTATCACTTACCTAATTGTTGTGATATTTGTGAACAAATTAAAACCTGTAGAGGATAATACAAGAAAAGATTGTTTTGTCCACAGGGGGCGCCATAATATACCCAAACCAAAAGTTCCTTACAGGAGCTTTAAATATTTATTATATTCCGTTGTAGCCAATATAAAAACTGGTATCAACTGTGAGTGAGCAATTTAAAACATGTAAAGAATAAGGTAAAAAAAACCTGTTTTGTCCACAGGGGGCACCAAAATATACACAAACCAAAAATTTCTTACAGGGGCTTTAAATATTCATAATAATCCATTGCAGCCAAAATAAAAAGTATCACTTACCTAATAGTTGTGATATTTGTGAACAAATTAAAACATGTAGAGGATAAGGTGAAAAAAGAGAGACAGTTTTGTCCACAGGGGGCGCCAAAATGGACACAAACCAAAAGTTCCTGACAGAGGCTTTAATCAGCGAAATAAACTTTGTAATCACTCAATTTTCAAAACTCATAAAGAGACTGTAATGTATAATATAAAACACACTTGAAGTGTTGTACAGTACATACAGTAGCCGTGGGATTGTTATTCTATTAATTATGTTTTTCTATTAATCTTCATGCGTTCACTCTTTATGCATTAACAATGAGCTGTGGCCATGAAGGCGAGTTCATTGAAGTCCTTAAGTAATTCAAAAGTGAGCTCAATAATACAGATGCATTGAAAGTTTAAGAGACACTCAAGAAGGCAAAGAGGAGAAATCAACAAGAAGCCTCAACAGTCTCTGAGCCGCACAGGCTGCCGGCCTTGGAGAACAAAACCTCCTCGAAACATCTCACCGCCTGCAGACTTTTCTCCTGTAAAGCTTCCAGTCCTCTCAGTATGCACAAATCCTGAGAGGAGCACACACTGCCCACTCTCCTCTGCACACAGCAGAACAAAACGCTGAACACAAGTTTGTAAGTGTCTAAGGTTGTGCTGCTTATTCTTTGGAAACAGATCCTTCCCACGGTTCCCTGAGTGTCAGCCTTTTTTTTAAATTTAATACAGCGCACCAACGAAGTGTCCCCTGGATGCTGTTGAGGAGGCAAGACAACACCCAGAGAAAGTGCTCGAGACTTTTAATCCACTTCTGGAGTTTTGCTCCAATTATTGTGAGCGCATGGCAAACAAATGTCCAAGTGTGAGTTATTACAGATGGAGTTAGGTGTCAATCATGCCCACTGTCCCTGAGAACCCCGATCCAAATAGACGCTGCTTTGTTCTGTTTTCAAAGGAGAGCAGCAGGAGCACAGAAGACAGCAGGTAGCCTCAAACAGCTCATGCTGGCTGCAAGATGGTCTCTTCATTTGAACCATTAAGGAGGCACAGACACTGTGAGTCAGCCTGGCTCTCTGTTTTACTGTCTGCTCGCTCTCTGCTGCTGCTGCTGAAGGGCCCCTAAAATATTTTCTCAACTCCCTCCAACTCAATGATACTTTATCTTTTTGCTGGAGAATAACCTACTTTCACAGAGGGAGAAGTGTGGATATGGTCTACCCACCCCTACAGACTATGCACCATTTTACGCAGGGGTTTATTGTTTCCATTTTATGGCAGTATGAAATAGACTATCGATTTCACTTGTCCTATTTCAACTTTGGCCAAGATTGGATTTTCTGAAACGAGCTGGGCTGGGCATCTCCGGCCCGACCCGCCCGGGGAGCGGAGGATCACAGGGGCTGACTGACTCTTCAGGTCGGAGTGCGCAAAGCAACGCGCCCCTGTGATTCATCCGCAGTTTCCAGACGGTGCGCAGGTGGAGGAGAAGAGGAGAAAAGGAGAGGAAGCAGCCGCTCAGTCTGAGGACGGACGGGTTGAAACGAGCTGGGGATGTTTGCAAAGGCGTAAATTCTTCTTCCACTCAAGGGACCAAGTGTTTTTCGCTCTTTTTCGGCGGCTTGATTCGGCGCAGCTGTTTCCCATTTCTCCTCCATGACAAAAGTTTGACTGTTAAAAAATGATGCTCTGCTCCGCGCCTGTTTTTTCATGCAATGCTGTGGACTCCGGCGTCAGCGTGAGCGGCCACTCATCACTCGAGAAATAGCTGCGATTCTTTCGGTCTTAATTTTCGGTGCCAATTTCAACAAACAGAGGGGTTTTTATACTCGCGCATCTTCATCTTCATCGCCCCGGATTGCATCCATTTGAATTCATGTCGCTCTCCATAATGGACTTCCTCGGACTGTACTTCTTGCAGCTGGCTCTTATTGGTAAGTTGAAAAAGACTTAAGATTCTGTAAATTCTGTTCAACTTGTGCACAGTGAATGTGTCGCTTTGCGGATGGTGATTTTCTGCAGCTCGTGATTTGTGTTTCTGTGTGAGTCTGAGCCTGGTGATGCTCATTTACAGCCTCCTTTTTCTCGCATGTAATCTGGCAAAGTTGCATGATCTGATAGTTGTTTTTTCCTCTATGATCATCATGCTCGTGTTGGGCTGGAGAGATGCATTTACAGGGTCCCGGGGAGAGAGCAGAGGTGCTGTGCGTAAAAAAGGACCACACGGAGAGATTATCTGATGGGAGACTGACAATAATGAAGCGGGGGGATTGTCTCCACTCTGGAGGCTCTTCTTGCACGTCTTTTCTCTGCCTCGCCGGGGCAGATCATGTGCCATCCTGCAGGCAAGAGCCCCGCGAATCTATTTGTCAAAGTAGAGAGATGAGAGATGAGATCACGATGGAGGGGAAATTGTCTAAATTTCATTTTTTCTTCGCCTCCTAAAGCTGCAGCCTCCTCTCAAAATGCCAATGCAGACGAGAGTGTGTCAAAGTCGCTGTGTGTCAAAATTTGTGCGTTTGGGCGCGTGCACAAGAACATAGATTTAAAGGGTTGGATGTGTGCGTGCATGGGCGTGCGTGCGCATCGTGCACCTGCCTTTGCAGGTGAAATTGTGCTGCTAGTGTGTGTTTGATGTGGGCGGAGCGGCAGCCAATGTGTGTGTGTGTGTGTGTTTGTGTGCAAGAAGCGTACAACTGCATAAACAATGTAGTGTGCGGGATCAAATCAAACACTATAATCATGAGCAAGACCACCAGCACTACACACACACACACACACAGAGTGAGAAACACACACTCATGCTCACACAGTCTGTTCTCCATCCAAATCTATTAATCATGTAACCTGCACACTTTCCATGGTGCCAGCTGGTGCGAGTCATTTCTAATGTCTGTGCTGTTTTCTTGCTGCTCTAATTTAAAATTCATCTGTGGTACAAACGGACTTTCTCTGATTCTGCTGCACTCTGTTCTGCAAAATTTCCCTCACCGTGGAGGAGAGGGGGGAAAAAAAACAACAAAAAAAAACCTTCCTGCAGAGCAAATGCGGGCTGGAACCAGGACGTACGGATGGGAGGATTTGTATTTGTGAGATTTATTGCCTCTATGATGACAGCTCTACATCTCAGACTCCATTTCCCTTTGCTGCAGCTGTGATTTCAGTCACTCACTCTAAGGCACACTGAGAGCAAGCCCTGCAAACTGGGAGAGGAAGCTGGAAATTGTGGGGTTTCTAGACAAGACGTTCGTCCACCTCGAACCCCCCCCCACAACACCCACTCATACAGCTCTCCCCTCCACTAAAGAAGCTAGCACTGCCATCAAATGTAAAAGCCGTGTCGCCGTGCTCGGCTGTCACTCCAGACATGAGCCGTATGGGTAAGTGAGGGCAGGATGTGAGTGTATAAGGGGGGGGAAGTCAGTCCTGGTCCTCACTCTGCAGATATTCTCACCTTGTCAAATACATGTGTCAAAACGCAAAGAGTCTCTCACCCGGGGCCTCATGATCCTGTCCATCAGGCGCACAGGGAGGCAGTGAGGAGAGCGAGGAGGGGGGATCAAAGGCACTGAGGCAGCTTTAGCCCGGAGGTTCGCCGAGAAAAGAGGATGGTGGTCGGTTTAAATCCACAGGAGGGGGGGGGACTCAGAGTGGGAGGAGTCAATCAGGCTTTAAGTGCTGTCAGAAATGTGAGGAGCAGAGTACACCTGAAGGGCTCCGGAGGAAAAGTGGGAAATGCTAAATTGAAAGTCTGTAAGTCGTCATTAAATCTGAGCTGCCGATACGTGACAAGAAGGTCGAGAAAAACATGTCTGACAGGTGCTTTATTTAAAGGTCTTATCAGGAGCTTTTACCTATTCATGAACTGACTGGTATCAATTATAATGAAGAGGCAAACCAGGCCATGAGCAGCCGGATTGACTCCATCCATGAAGCTCATTTTAATGTCTGTGACTGTTTGACAGGCTACCATAACAGTCTTGTTTTACATTTTCTAATGGTTCACTGTGATGTTGACCTTTTACCAGGCGGCTTTTAGCTCCATATGGAAGTCAAAGACAAGTTTTCAAGTCAGAATAAAATCAGGAGATGGCGACTCAAGTCTTCTTTAGTCTTTAGTCTTGTTTCATGCAAACACTGTTGTTTTTTTATTGTGAACATTATCAAGAAGATGGGATGTAAAAAAAGACAAAGCTAAGACAAATCTGCGAAGTTGTTGTTTTCACAGATCAACTAACAACCAGTCAGAGTCTTGCTGATGTGTTTGGCGATTGTTTTGGTATCTGACACAACGGGTCAACCAGAGGACAGCCTGAGAGTGCTGCTTATTTGTTTTAATGGATTTTTTTAGTCGTATATTTTATCATATATATGGCTTTCTTGTGTACAAACAATACTTCAGAGAAAGCCTGCTTCAGAGTGAACTGATATCAATGAAGATGAAGTATTGTTTGCAAGTTCTCCCTGACACAATTGCAGTAAAATGTCATTTTATTGAAAAATTGTCCATGAATTTCACTCACTTTACCAGGTTGTGACGTTGTTGTTTTAGATGTTTCTAATATCAGGAGCAGGGTCGTAATGTTTGCCGATTGTTTGTTTTGCAGATTCGTGCAGTTTACAGCACAACGGCTCCTCGTCATTTTCTTTCTCCGTTGACTCCGCTAGTAAATAAATAAGAAATGTCCCACTTTCTGCCCCAAGGCGATGACGTTGCACAGAAACCCGTCTAAACTAGGGCTGGGCGATAAAATGATAACGGTACATATCAAAAATTAATTTCCCTTGATATTGATATAAAACATGGTCGATATGCTTTTTGATAGTCGGCATCCTGACATGTTTTTGTAGACTTTACGAATAGCCAATGAAAAGTGGAGTTGCTCCGGGTCGCTTCACGCTGAACCAATCATGTGCTGAACTGGAACCAAGTAGCAAACAACGGGGTAGTAGCAGGATGCAGCTACATGCAACCATAGCACTTCAACACTGGCATGAAAACGTTGGTGGTGTGGAGGTATTTTGGTTTCTTAAGGTCGGCAAATTATGTTGAGTACATTTTCTTGTAAAGTCAGAGAATACCTCAAATCTTTGTCACCAACTGAAGCAGCGCCATGCCGCAGAGCACGCGCAATGCAAAAGCTTACAAACCCAGAGTGGAGTAAGGAGCCCATAGTGCCTGTGCAGCCGAAATTAGTTAGTATTAGAAATTAGTTTTTGTGATATATATCAATATCGACTGATATTAAAAAAATATATAATGATAAACTTTTTCCCATATCGCCCAGCCCTATCATTTACCATTATTGTTGTTTTTCAGCTCAAAAGTTGTCGTCAATTTCCAGTAGAAACTTCACTGTAGTCCGCGCAAGATCCCCGGTCTTTACAAAATCTTGGTCCATGTCTAAAAATTCTGACTTTTGAAGCATTTTTAAAAACATGAGTCGGGTTTTTTGGTGTGTGGAGGCATAAAGCGAGATGAAAACGTCGGTCACAAAAGGACAAGACCACCCGACAGATCAAATGGCCTGTCTTTGTCCACAGAGAAAACCAGCAGCAGGAAATGTATACGGCTCCAATTTGAGGTAAAGCATGTTCTTCAGAGCTGCAGTAATTGTCATGCAAAGTAGGGCTGCATTGCTTGAATCTGAAGCAAAACATCAAAGACCGTGAAAACACTTTGATTAATAATAAGTTTGCATTTGTTATTCTGTCCGACTAAAAACCTCTGAAGTGTGTGAAAAATCATATTTGCACCTCAGAAACCGGAGCTTTCATGGAGCTTATGAAGGCAACATCAATTGTTTCTGCAACTTCTTCCTAAATGGCCTTGAGCGTGATTACCAGCACTATTCAATTACAGGTATATATATGTGTGTGTGTATGCGTTTGTGTTTGTACTAACTTAGCTACCCTTTTGAGGACCAGCACTTGACAGCCCGCTTTTCCTTACGAGGACCGTTCGACTTAAAAAGATATTCTGGCTGTTTCTCGTGTTTCCACGCAGCCCGCCTCCCTGAGCTCCTGCTGCAAATAAAAACACGCTCCTCTGCGACTCGCCGGGCCAAACAAGGCTTTATAAATGCCTGTGGTGTACTGGGCTGCAGTAATAACCGCCCGATCTAATGTGTCTCCCTGATGAAACGAGGTGTATGAAATGGACGTATGTGAGATTAGCATGCTTGTTTTTATTTTTTTATTTTATTTTTTTTGCATGTCGTTAACTTGCGGGGCTAAACTTGTGCATTATAAAAAGACAGGGTGGGAAAACAAGCTTCTATTTACTTCAGATTTAAATTAGCATATTTACTGCTCAGTCTTGTGATGCTTCAGTGATTATCTGCCCGCACCGCTCTGAACATTTTGCAATCATTACTCTAATTATGTGACCAGGTTCATCTGCATATTATTCTGCGTCTAAACGGTGGGCAGTAACTGAACGTGGCCTACTTTACCATTTGGGACATAGCAGGGTGTTTATATTGCGAGCGATGGTGTACATGTAACAGCTGGACAGTGGAGACACCTATAATCATAAGCATGGTTGGTATGTTTATTCTTCTGGCTTGAATTCCTGTTGATTATGAGAGCTGTTGTAATAGAGGCACAGTAGCCATAACTACTGAGTACATTAAACTGCAGGGGGGCCTTCGCAAGGCAAACTCGGCTCAGATTTATCAGCGGTGAGGGCCTTTGGAAACTAGAAGGAAGCCTTGTACTCTAAAAGCCTCATTCCAGAGCTTTAAGTTCAGGGTGCTTTAGTCAGAGGTGCAATTTTATCTCCAAGAATAAAATGTGCAGTTTGCAAATACCAGCCCCGTCGTACAGGCAACAGGTCGTAAGAGCTGTAATTTAAGAGTAATTTACCGCAATTTTTAAGCGCACACGCAGGGCCGGGAGATTTAGACTGCACAGTAGTTGGCAAAGTCGTGACAACCAGGTGAGAAAAGTATGCCAGATTCGCAACCACCTTGTACAGAACAGCTGAGAAGACTGCAAATAGTACGCACATTGCTAAAAAGGGTGTGTACATAGCAAATATCCAAAAACTAGCAAAAATGAGTCTGCAGACACAACTTTAAAACTAATAATATTTCTGTAGCAGTGTAAAAATTCAGCTTATTTATGAAGTTTAACTGACAACTTTTATCTTAAACTGTGAGAGCGCCAATTAAAAATCTTTTGACACATCAGTTTTGAAATAATTAGTTTAAAAGGGTTAATAAAAGTGTTGTAACATGTTTGTTTTTTGTATTTTACCTCTAGAAAAGATGTCTTAACTCTCAGGTACCACAGTCAGACCTGATTCTGTATCAGTCTGCACTGACAAAGAGCTGATTGTGTTTTCTACAACAGTAAATATCATCATTTTTACTCCACAATGAGGAGGCTGCAGATGCTGAAATTAAGCGATGGAACATTTGAAAAACGTTCAGAGAGGAAACACTTAACTTTGATCGGGGAAATTATCGGACATGATTAGATTTCCCAACAATCAAGAGATGTAACTCACGACTAAAGCAAAAACAAACAAGAACTTCAGACTAAAGTAAAAAGATTCAGTTATCTTCAGACAATTTATCTGATTACAAAGAAACGACTGATCCTGGAAAAACAGCAGAATAATTATGGCGACATCAGCCGTTTTTAACTCCAGCTAATGAAGGTTTAGATGTTGATAATATCTGTTAGTGGAACTAAATAACAGGTTTCTTTTTACATTATGAGAATGGTGGATTAAAGTTGTTTGAAGACGATGTTTTCAACCCAAACTAAAAAGATTAAGGTAGACTTGAGTCCTGTGGAAAAAACTACGTATATAGTTCAGTTTGTTGACAGTTTTTTGCCTCCTGTGTGATAGATCTCTGTGTCTACAGGTCAAGGTAGACAGGGCTGAAATGCTTTTAATGTGGCTGAGACCAAAGAGCATTTCAGCATCCAAAGACTGAGGTCTGGTCTAGATGTTGGCCGGTCTTAGCTAAGAACCGGAGTTTACCTTACTGTTTAAATGCTAATATAAGCATGCCAGGCCAGCAGGTGGCGATAAACACAATAGGATGTGTGAGATGATATTAAAAAACATCCAGATTGACCTAATGAAAGTAATTCTACATGTGTTGTTAAAGCATGTGGAGACATAGATTAAGCATTAGATTAGATTGTGCGTTTTAGTATCTGCTCTTTAACTCTTTGATTGCTCTCATTTCTCACTTCATTATCGTCGTTCCATTCATTCAGAAAGCAGTCATGTTATTAAAAAAGACTGATTAGACATTATTGGCTGAGTTTACTCATTTTTAATTTCCTAAAGTGTCGAAACTCTCGTGTTATCGCATAAACAAGGTCGGCATGTCCTATTAAGCAGAGGGACGTCGAATCTGCTCTGTTTTCGGTCTCGGGTTATATTTAGTCGTATTTTTGTACATGAGATAGATTTGAGGTCTCAGAGGAGAAGTCGCTGACACTTTTCAGATCATGTGATGACATTTCGCTCAAACACAAATAGCTTCCTAATTAACAACTCCAAACACAAACTCGCTTGTCGAACGGCCTCTTGAGTCTCCTGCGCATCCAAAGCGAACTCCTTCTGTTGCTCTCAGCGGTTCTTCGGCCTCATCACTGTGCTTTGTTTGCCAATGAATAATTTTCTCTATGAATGTTTGGTAACCTTGAATTGTGACAGATAATATTATGGGTTTTTCCAAGTATGCGCTTTATGCATTTATTCTAACAAATCTAAGAGCCCACCCCCTCACCGCCACCACCTCCTGACACATGAATAATTCATGCTTCCCCCCTCTCTCGCTCCTCCGCCAGGTCCACGTATTCTGTGCAGGGCGGCAAAGTTTCTTGATTTCTCTTATGGTGGATACTTTCCTGCGCACTTTGAGTTCCTCTGACAGAGAGAAGCGAGAGAACAGTGTCGGAAAATTACAGGAGCAAACATTGCAGGGAGAGGAGGGTATGAATGTGAATAAGCCGTGTGTGACAGCGAGAGAGGGGATTTATTTTTCCATGAGGCCCTGGCTGTCGTCGGGCATCTAACAGAGAGGAGATACATATCCTCTGTAGAGCGTCTCTCCAGAGCTCGGTTGCACTTATGATCCCCGCTGTTTCGGTTCACTTTGTTACCTCTAAACTGACTCTCCTACTCCTCTGAGTCCCAGTCGATGTTTTCCTGGTTTGTTGTTTATGCAGAACACCTGTTGCACCGAATCCCAGAAGCACAGATTTAAAATAACGATTGCACCAATCTGCACCCGAGCTCTTCAAGTGTGCAGATATCATTTTTGACACCTAATCCATCTTGTCTGATTAATTCATTGAGTCAATTTATCAACTGTCTCCTCGCGTAGATAATGCCTCAGCGAAAGAGCAATCACACCGCCTTCCTAACCGTCATGATGACTCAACAAAAGAGTCGAAACATAAAGTCAGATAGCAGCGGGTGTGTTTGCTTGGTGACTAGCTGACATTTACAAGCGGTTGTTCTCTTGCCGTGTTACTGATTTTCTTGCTGCTTTGTGTTATCGCTGCCCGGACGAGTAATACTGTATGTATAAAGAGCAGATGGAGGCAATTACAGGCCAAGAAAAGAGCAAAATGGAGGCCCTAAGATGGAGATAAACACACCCTGGAGTAGAAGGGGAATCAAACTGCAGCACTGATGCTAGCGGGGAGGATTTTGCGGGGTGAAAACCAAAGTGACAGTGCTCCTTATTATGTTAAAACCCTGTCATTTCCACTGGCTTTTGTTGAGGGACGATTATGCCACAGAGACAATTACCCTGCCCTTGCTGCGCTGAAAGGATATGGCATTTTACTGCCACTGTATTCCACAGCCAGGCGTTTAACTTTGTAATGAAGAGGCTGCAAAATGGTCCAGGCTGATTGTGAGAAAGCCTAAAAGGCTGCAATTAATCAGAAGGAAAAGTTTGGTGAGTGCGGAGCGAGGGGGGGAGAAAGGTAGCACCGAGTTGGCTCTGCAGAGAGAATGACAAGTGGTAATGAAACAAGCGAGCGGGGCTTCAAGGCCCTTCATCAAGTGTTCGCAGTACTTAACGCCTGTAAGTGTGTCTGTCAGGGCGTTTTTAAGTATGAGGAACTTTCACTGTGACTATTGAACATCATTATCCAGACCCATACAATCAAGGCTCTTATTACGCTCCCATTTTATTGAAAGAGGTACTGGAGGTGACAATCATATTCTCATCCCACATAGGCACCGCAGACTTAAAGATATAGCTGTTAATCACAAGGCTCTGCTTCTTTTCCCCATGATCTCATGTATTAGTCACACACAGCGACACATTTATATTCTATTCATCCGGCCAATAAAGAAAAATTATTGTGCTAATGGAGAAGTGATTCAGTTCTGCAACAAAGAGATATGACTTCAGGTTTGACTATGAGGAAAAGTTGGGCCTCACTCACATCCATTATTCTTTTGTCTGATAAGTGACACAAATCAATGCGAGGAAGTGACGTGTGTATTCGCAAGAGCCTTGACGCCGTCGGAGATGCTTCCATTTCGTGGTTTTAGTTTTTCAACGTCATGCACAGCTCCCCCTATAACTCTTTGACAGTTAGTATAATTATGTGGGTCATGATGCAGTGAGATAAAATACAAGGCCATGCTGTAAAAGTACCGTAACTTTAAGAACAAGATGTACACAGTGATACGACACCAAACCCTATGATATGACATGATAAAAATAAAAAAGTGGACAATTTAATATGATAAATATGATACAGTGTGACATAAGACAATATATGATATATGATAGATTACAAGATGGTAACAAATGATAGGATTATGATTAAGATATAGTTATTACAATATCACACATCATGATATATGATATGATAAAGTACAATATGATAGGATATCATAAAATAAAATATGAAATGGTGCCGTACGATATGATATGATACAATTGGATATGATAAGATGTGATATATGATATAATCCAAAACTGTACAATCATATATAATATATGATAAAATCAATGTGATATAAATCAATATATGATATGATATGATAAATTATATTATACCAAATTATAGGATAGGGTTATGATAAGCTATGATTAGGATAGGTTAGAATACCATATGATAGGGTATGATATGATAAGAAACAATCAAAGTATCAATGTATGATAGGATATCATGTGATACAAGATGAAATAACACCATATGATATGATGTGTTATGATATGATGTCAAATGATAGGATTGTGATATATAAGATGGTGAGATTACGATATGATGCGATATGATATGTAGTGACATGACACAGTATGATATGATATATGATATGATGATTTATAATATGATTGGATTGGATTATAATATATGATATGATGAGATTATGATATGATAGGATTGTGCTATGATGAGATTACAATATGATGTGATGATATGCGATACTATATGTAGATCCATGACACGGCAGATGGTATATAATGATTTATGAAATGATATGACGCCAAATGACAGGATTATGATATATCATACCATGAGATCACAATGTGATGCGATATGACAGAATATAGTATGATGTAATATGATATGATATGATACTATGGGATACCACTGCCAAAATATCAGCTGCCAGTTATTTGGTAAATTTACTGTTTTATTTAGACAACAAAGTGTAATTGCTAGGGGACACATAGGCTGGATCTAAATACTCCCCAGCAGTGTCTTCATTTCACAGTTGAATGTTAGGGAGCGTCACAAAGCTCTTAAGAGGAGAGAGGACAGAGGAGAGAGGAGGGAAGTCAGAGACGTGATGAAAAGCAACACTTCTGATGGACAGACATGCCGCCGTATCGACAATAGGTCGCTGTTAGACCTCACTGAAACTTGACTTCACTGGATTTTAAAAACAGAGAGAAGACCAACCTTGAACAGATCTGAACATATGCAGCTGATATGTAATTAGCAGAATTAAAGGTTGAATGATACACATGAAATATTAAGCATCACTCTCATAAAGTTGAGAGCTTTTAGAGGACGCTGTGGTAAAGTTAGGTTAGTTAGATTGTCACATCAGGAAAGATTTGAAGATATTTAAAGTGGATTTGTGATATTAAACTGTTGTAGCGAGCAGCGTTGTATTTTTTGGTTTCAGATTCAGTTTGTCCGCCCTGTTTCTCAGACCCTGAAAATGTTCTGTTAAACCCGTTTTAACCTTGGAGAGTTTTCTGCCGGCTCGCACGTCTTCTGTCGGCACAAAGGAAAATAAATGAATAAAGGGGAAAAGCAGCTCTCAATGTTTTTGTTGCAGATGTTGACTGGAACAAGTTATCTGTCAATAAGCAGGGGGAAAATACTGTCATATAATATATTATGTTGGGAAATATCTGTCAAGAAAAGACAGAGAGGCAAACTGGAAATGTTCCTGCGGTGATACGGACACATTTCTTAATATTTGACAGAGAGTAGGTGACTGAAGGAGGAATCAAAGAAAGCTGATTATCAGAGGCGAGAGTTGAACGTTGTCAAATTTACCAAAACTGTTTAATCCACTGTGCCAGTTTTGGCTCAGAATCACCTCGCAAAACAGGTAAAAAAAAAGAAAAAAGTGTGTCACTGCACGCCAGGCAGATTAGTCATGTGGCAGCGAGGTTGTCTTTGAAGATTATGAATGTGATGTTTTTAAACTAGTAGATTTTCTTTGTGTTTTAATGAAAGAAGGGGATCATTTGATGGATTAAAATATGCAAAACGCAGAGATATTAAAAGATAAGTTCAGGAGAGACCCAAATTAGAGCCAGCAGTCATCCATCTTTCCCTGCCACGGCTCACATGTAGGTTAGGTCGTGTTAAAGTAGCTGCTCCTCCACTTGCCTCATTACTTTACCCTGAACTCCTGGCAAATTAGAGCAGGCCAGCAGGCGGCAGAGGGGGAGCAGAGATCCCCCGTCCGAAGCAGGAGCCGAATCGAGATGACATCCTGCAGCCTCTTCGGCAGGGGCCCCGGGATCTGGGGAGCTAATTGGTTTCTAATCAGAGCGGCAGTGTCTGCTCAGCCTGTTAAGATAGAAATAGAGGGAGAGTGTGAAACCAGGACTCAGGAATATGGTTCAATGCCAGGCTGTCAACTGACTCCGCCAACGGGGAGGTGGCGGAGGATGGGGGGGCGGGTTTCGAACGGGCCAAATCACAGCAGGCGATCCAGGCAGCCTGTCTCAGATATGTGCCAGATAACATTTATGAAGGCTAATGAAAGAGTTAGCGGCTCAGCACTCTTACATGCTTTCCACGCCGTCTGCTTCGACTGTAGTCTAACTTGGGCTGCTTGGATGATAATGTTTTTGTCTTACATGTTCCACGTCATCACCCAGGCAGATGGGGAATGAAAAAAAAACATGAAAAAACTGGAAGATGTCCCTGATTTCATAAATACAAAGGCTAAAAAGAACTGTTTCCTGGCAGTTATGACAGAACAGTTTGTATCTTGTCCCTATTCCCAGAATTTATCACACAGTCTAATTCAGCTGCCATGCTACCATATGCACTGTCTTT